ATAAAATTATAAACAAATATTATTTTATAATCACACAAATTATTAAAAAAAATAAAAAAATATATTTCTAAAAAGATTATTATAGTTCTTGTCATCACTACAATAAAATAAATTTTTAGTAGCGTTTTTTAGTCCTATAGCAGCGTTTTTAAGCGCCACTAAAAGCTTTCCTGGTTGGCGATAGTAAAAGCGCCGCAAGAAGCCTTGGTCAAAGCAGCACCACAAAAGTTAGCGGCGTTTGTGAACACAAAACGCTACAAAAGGTCATGTTGATTTAATTTATAAAAATTTAAATTCTCAAGGACTCAATGATAATTATAAATTAGTTAAAAATTTAAAGATTTCTTATTTAAAATAAAGGGTAAACTATACAAGTAGACCACCTAAATGTTGTCTCATTTCATTTTGACCAATATTTTTGAAATTTTGTCAATCAGGTCATTCAACTATTTAAATGCATTCAATTAAGCAACTTGCAATTAATATTTAACAAAGAAGTTGATGTGGCAGTTAAAATATTTGGTATAATTACACATTTGATCGCTGTTACTTATACATATATATATATTATCAATTTGGTTCTAATTTTAATAAATTAAAATAAACTTAACCCTCAAATCTTAATTTTAAAAGATTTTAAAAGGTACGGCATATTCTATATTTAAAACGAAATAATTTTTTACTAGAAATTCTATTTATGGTTCTTAGAAGCATCCCGTCAATGGTATCATAACCTCTTTTGATTGTAAGGAAAATATAGTTGATTAGCCCATGCATATAAAATTCACTGGACAAAATTTTTATCCTACTACTATTTGTAAATGACATTCTACTAAAAAAAGGTGATATAATATAACCTGTAAAACTAAGAAATTTTTATCTAGTAAATTTCTAATAGAAAATGTGACATATATTTTTTTTCACGTTTGACAAAATCTTCCTTTAAAATTTTAAAAACTCACCTCCTACCATAAAAATTTATGTTCATCTTTAATAAAAGTTTACATTGATAAGATTCTCGATGGACTTAACATGAAAAAAATTTCACTAAAAGATTGACCTATATCAAAAGGGCGATAAATTTAGTTTGCTTTAAATTTAATATCATAAATTATTGCTTGAGTTATTCAATTTTTTAGAAAAAAGATTTGTTATAAATATAAAATATATCATAACTTTTAAAATTAAAATAAATTAAAATAAAAAGTTGAATTTTGGTAATTATACATGGCATCATTTGATTTGAGGGCTAAGTTTATTTTAATTTATTTAAATTAGGACTAAATTGATAGAATATAAAAGTAACAATGACCAAAATGTGTAATTATACCAAATATTTTAACTGCCACATAAGCTTTTCCCTTAAATATTAACGGCGAGTGACTTAATTGAATGCATTTAAATAGCTGAGTGACCCGATTGACAAAATTTCAAAAATATTGGTTTAAATGAAAAGGGACAATAATTAAGTGGTAACTGGTATAGTTTACCATTTATTTTAGTTAATTTATCTTTAAATTTTTAACTAATTTATAATCATACGTTGAGTCATTTAGCATTTAAATTTTTATAAATTAAATTAATGGTGCTCGTCGTTAGTGATGTTCATCGCTGCTCGTCGAGCGTAGAAGAATCATCATGGGTTTAAGATACCTTTTTTACTAAAATAAAATATTTAATTTATTATTTTTCTCCATAAAATTTTAGATCGAAATCTTAAAACAATCAATTTCATATGCCTTAACTATGCAAATTATTGCAGTTTGGCTTAATACCTAAAATGGCTCAAGTAGTATACTGACATTCTCACTTTGACTCTTTTTATATGAACTTACCGAACAATCTCGTTGATAAAAGGAAGTGTTTACAATGTGATTCAATCATGTTTCTCTCCGTATAAAAAATATATATTGAAAATTGTAAAAATAAATTCTAATAAAATCCTAAACAGGTTTTAAAAAATTATTTAAAAATAATAAAAACAACTAAAAGTTTAAATTTTTTAATTGTTTTTATGATTTTTATTTTTTGAAAGATAAATTAAACATAATTATATATATATTTTTAAAATGTCATGCCATGATAAATTAAATGGTCTTACCTTATACCATTTTTCCTGACCGTTAAGAACAGAGTGAGCATGAGTAAGTTATGAAACTGACGTTGGATTTTATTTTTAGAAAGTATTTTAAAAATTCAGAGGTAAGATATTATAAAATTTTAAAGATACAAATATAAAATTAATATATAAAATATAAAAAGAATTTAAAGTTCTTTTAAGGATCGATCCATTCACGATGAGGTTCACAATTGATTTATTCCGTCAATCAGCTTGAAAAGAGGGGATAAAAGCATTTCGAGTGGCTTCATTCTCCCATTAAGTTTTTAACGACAGGTACTAAAATGAAATGAAAACTAAACGTTAGGTATGGTTTTGAAAAAAATGAATGTTTAGGTACCAAAATAAATCACAATTGATAGTTTAGGTACTAAACGCATTAATTTTTTAACGGCGTGGCACTAAAATGAAATGAAAACTAAACGTTAGGTATGATTTTGAAAAAAATATGAAAGTTTAGGTACTAAAATAGACCAAAACTGATAGTTTAGGTACTAAAGGCATTAAATTTTTAAAGACGGGTACTAAAATGAAATGAAAACTAAACGTTGGATATGGTTTTGAAAAAAAATGAAAGTTTAGATATCAAAACAAATCACAACTGATAGTTTAGGTACTAAATGCGTTAGTTTTTAACGATAAAGTACTAAAATGAAATGAAAACTAAATGTTAGATATGGTTTTGAAAAAAATTGAAAGTTTAGATACTAAAACTGACCAAAACTGATAGTTTAGGTACTAAACACATTAAATTTTTAACGACGAGTACTAAAATGAAAACTAAACGTTAGGTATGATTTTGAAAAAATTGGAAGTTTAGGTACTAAAACAGACCAAAACTGATAGTTTAGGTACTAAACTCGTTAATGTTTTAACGACATTGTACTAAAATAGAATGAAAACTAAACGTTAGATATGATTTTGAAACACTTAAAAGTTTAGGTACTAAAACATACCAAAATTGATAGTTTAGGTACTAAACGCATTAAGTTTTTAACAACAGTTACTAAAATGAAATGAAACTAAATGTTAGGTATGATTTTGAAAAAATTGAAATTTTAGGTACCAAGACAAATCACAAATGATAATTTAGGTACTAAATGCGTTAATTTTTTAACGACAAAGTACTAAAATGAAATGAAAACTAAATGTTAGATATGGTTTTGAAAAAATTAAAAGTTTGTAGTTTAGGTACTAAACACATTAAATTTTTAACGACGAGTACTAAAATGAAAACTAAACGATAGGTATGATTTTGAAAAAATTGAAAGTTTAGATACTGAAACAAACTACAACTAATAGTTTAGGTACTAAACGTGTTAATTTTTTAACAGTGGATATTAAAATGAAATGAAAATTAAACGTTAAGTATGATTTTAAAAAAATTAAAAGTTTTAAGTACTAAAACGGAGTAACCCAAAAATTAATCAAGTCAAATAAAAATAGTATTGATAATTTGACTAAATTTCAAGTTCAAATACATAAATTATATATATATATAAATATATTGTTTACCCTAAATAAAAAATTGACATTGTTTCACTTCAATAAACGTGCTTGAAAAGATGGCATAAAAGCATTTCGAGTGGCTTCATTCTCCCATTCTACCTGTTCCCACCAGTATGGGTATCCCCTAATGGTGATGTGATTCCCTTTTGCACTGTCAGAGTTGAGAGGAAGCTTCTTCAGTTTAGGTACTAAAACAGACCAAAACTGATTTTGAAAAAAATCAAAACTAAATGCATTAGGTATGATTTTGAAAAAAATTGAAAGTTTAGGTACTAAAACAGACCAAAACTGATAGTTTAGGTACTAAATGCATTAAGTTTTTAAAGACGTGTACTAAAATGAAATCAAAACTAAATGTTAGGTATGATTTTGAAAAAAATTGAAAGTTTAGGTACCAAAACAAATCACAACTGATAGTTTAGGTACTAAACACGTTAATTTTTTAACGGGGTACTAAAATGAATGAAAACTAAACGTTAGTTATGATTTTGAAAAAATTGAAAGTTTAGGTACTAAAATAGACCAAAACTGATAGTTTAGGTACTAAACACAATAAATTTTTAACGACGGGTACTAAAATGAAATGAAAACTAAATGTTAGATATGGTTTTGAAAAAAATTGAATGTTTAGGTACTAAAACAAACCACAACTGATAATTTAGGTACTAAACGTGTTAATTTTTTAACGGCAGGTACTAAAATAAAATGAAAACTAAACGTTAGATATAGTTTTGAAAAACTTAAAAGTTTAGATACTAAAACAGACCAAAATTGATAGTTTAGGTACTAAACGCATTAAGTTTTTAACGACGGGTACTAAAATGAAATGAAAACTAAACATTAGGTATGATTTTGAAAAAAATTGAAAGTTAGGTACCAAAACAAATCACAATTGATAGTTTAGGTACTAAATGTATTAATTTTTTAACGACAATGTACTAAAATGAAAACTAAATGTTAGATATGATTTTGAAAAAAATGAAAGTTTAGGTACTAAAACAAACTACAACTAATAGTTTAGGTACCAAACGTGTTAATTATTTAACAGTGGTATTAAAATGAAATGAAAACTAAACATTATGTATGATTTTGAAAAAATTAAAAGTTTAAGTACTAAAACAGACTAAAACTAATAATTTAGGTAATGGATTTTTAATTTATCCAAAAACTAATTAAGTCAAATAAAAATAGTATTGATAATTTGACTAAATTTCAAGTTCAAATACATAAGTTATATATATATATATATTGTTTACACTAAATAAAAATAGGGATGAGACGATCTAAGGAAAAATATTTTTGTTTCAAAAATTTGACATTGTTTCACTTCAATAAACAAGTGCAAGGAAAAATAGGGATGAGACGATGAGGTTCACAATTGATTTCTTCTGTAAAAAGGCTCTTGAAAAGATGGCATAAAAGCATTTCGAGTGGCTTCATTCTCCCATTCTAGCTGTTCCCACCAGTCTCTTTCTCCCTTAATGGTGATGTGATACCCTTTTGCACTGTCAGAGTTGAGAGGAAACTTCTTCAGTTTAGGACAGTCCTCTATATAAATACGTTTCAGACATGGGAAGGGTAAGGCATCCCAGTATATGCTCTTCAATTCTGGTAGGAAGAGTAAATAAAGTGTTTGAAGGTTCAGAAATGGTGTAGGGTATGGATTTCCCACCTCATCTGCAACATCTCTGAGTCTTCCCTCGCTCAGTATTTCTTCCATCTCTGAACAATTCCATATCCAAAGATACCTTAGATTTGGAGCAAGAAACAGCCAGGTAACGTCCTTCAATTTGTAACAACTAGAAATTCTAACTTCCCTCAATGAGGCATAAACTGAAAGAAACCATCATTGATCACCTGCAGCTTATTTTGGCTAAGAAACAAAGTCTTAAGGTTAGGGCATTTAGGGGTTCCTCCGAGATCTTCAATCTGATTTTGCATCACCGACATTCTTTTTGCACCTTCCCATGCCTTAACATCTGGCTCCTCTAGTAATTGAGCCCCTGCTTTTACAAAGAAACTCTTCTCTTTCTCTTCCTCTTCAGGCTCGCATGCTATCCACAAACCCATGTCTCGGATCACATCATGCATCTTCACACATTCTTCTCCAAAAAATGATTCATCCACTCTTTCCAATAAAGAAGCCCTAAGAAGAGAGTTGATAATGTGATCTCCTTCCATCTGGGCTTCACTAATTTTATCTGATTCAAACAGCCCTTCACAAAACCAATACTCCACTAATGTCTTTGTGGGAATAGGATAATCTTCAGGATACAGACAACAATATAGGAGGCAACATTTCATTGTGGGAACCAGATAATCATAACTGAGTTTTAAAAGCGGATATACCGATTTTTCCATTTTGGATAATCTGGATTGCTTCAACTTCGTAATTGCATGTTTCCATTCCTCAGGTGTCGTCCTGCAAGCCATGGCACGACCGATAATAACCAGTGCAAGAGGCAACCCACGACACTCTTCGGCTACTTTTTGAGCTAATTTTGGAATATCTGGATGGCTGTGGAGAGTTTCATCCCCAACCTTTTCTTGGAACAATTTCCAAGCCTCTTCCAGTTTCCAAGCCTCTTCCAGTTTCAGACAAAATCAAGATTTTAATTCAGGGACAAAGTATAACTAATAATAGAAAATAGGGACAAAATCAAAATAAATCAAAATTTAAATATCTACATTGGTAACTATCTCTATTTTTTTAATAGTAAAAAAAAATTGGGGGAGGGGCAGTGGCCCCCGGAGCCATGGAACGATCATTCCTCATCACATCACCAATTGCTCAAAGTCAATCCTTTTGATCATGGAACTTATATTTGGAAATTATTTCTAAATTTATCGAATATAAAATGATGTGTGTACGTTATTACTATACTATAAAATTATGAACAAAGATTATTTTATAATCACATAAATTATTAAATAAAAATAAAAATATATATTTCTAAAAAGATTATTATAGTTCTTGTCATCACCACAACAAAATAAACTTTTAGTGGCGTTTTTTAGTCCTATAGCAGCGTTTTTAAGCGCCATTAAAAGCTTTCCTGGTTGGCGATAGTAAAAGCGCCGCAAGAAGCCCTGGTCAAAGCAGCACCACAAAAATTAGCGGCGTTTGTGAACACAAAACGCTGCAAAAGGTCATGTTAATTTAATTTATAAAAATTTAAATTCTCAAGGACTCAATGATAATTATAAATTAGTTAAAAATTTAAAGATTCCTTATTTAAAATAAAGGGTAAACTATACAAGTAGACCACCTAAATGTTGTCTCATTTCATTTTGACCAATATTTTTGAAATTTTGTCAATCAGGTCATTCAACTATTTAAATGCATTCAATTAAGCAACTTGCAATTAATATTTAACAAAGAAGTTGATGTGGCAGTTAAAATATTTGGTATAATTACACATTTGATCACTATTACTTATATATATATATATTATCAATTTGGTCCTAATTTTAATAAATTAAAATAAACTTAACCCTCAAATCTTAATTTTAAAAGATTTTAAAAGGTATGGCATATTCTATATTTAAAACGAAATAATTTTTTTACTAGAAATTCTATTTATGGTTCTTAGAAGCATCCCGTCAATGGTATCATAACCTCTTTTGATTGTAAGGAAAATATAGTTGATTAGCCCATGCATATAAAATTCACTGGACAAAATTTTTATCCTACTACTATTTGTAAATGACATTCTACTAAAAAAAAGGTGATATAATATAACCTGTAAAACTAAGAAATTTTTATCTAGTAAATTTCTAATAGAAAATGTGACATATATTTTTTTTACGTTTGACAAAATCTTCCTTTAAAATTTTAAAAATTCACCGCCTACCATAAAAATTTATGTTCATCTTTAATAAAAGTTTACATTGATAAGATTCTCGATGGACTTAGCATGAAAAAAATTTCACTAAAAGATTGACCTATATCAAAAGGACGATAAATTTAGTTTGCTTTAAATTTAATATCATAAATTATTGCTTAAGTTATTCAATTTTTTAGAAAAAAGATTTGTTATAAATATAAAATATATCATAACTTTTAAAATTAAAATAAATTAAAATAAAAAGTTGAATTTTGGTAATTATACATGGCATCATTTGATTTGAGGGCTAAGTTTATTTTAATTTATTTAAATTAGGATTAAATTGATAGAATATATAAGTAACAGTGACCAAAATGTGTAATTATACCAAATATTTTAACTGCCACATAAGCTTTTCCCTTAAATATTAACGGCGAGTGACTTAATTGAATGCATTTAAATAGCTGAGTGACCCGATTGACAAAATTTCAAAAATATTGGTTAAAATGAAAAGGGACAATAATTAAGTGGTAACTGATATAATTTACCATTTATTTTAGTTAATTTATCTTTAAATTTTTAACTAATTTATAACCATACGTTGAGTCATTTAGCATTTAAATTTTTATAAATTAAATTAATGGTGCTCGTCGTTAGTGATGCTCATCGCTACTCGTCGAGCGTAGAAGAATCATCATGGGTTTAAGATACCTTTTTTACTAAAATAAAATATTTAATTTATTACTTTTCTCCATAAAATTTTAGATCGAAATCTTAAAACAATCAATTTCATATGCCTTAACTATGCAAATTATTGCAGTTTGGCTTAATACCTAAAATGGCTCAAGTAGTATACTGACATTCTCACTTTGACTCTTCATCCGTCAATGAGCTTGAAAAGATGGCATAAAAGCATTTCGAGTGGCTTCATTCTCCCATTCTACCTGTTCCCACCAGTCTTGGTATCCCCTAATGGTGATGTGATTCCCTTTTGCACTGTCAGAGTTGAGAGGAAGCTTCTTCAGTTTTGGACAAAAGCCTATATCAATACGTTTCAGACATGGGAAGGGTAGGGCATCCCAGTATATGCTCTTCAATTCTGGTACATATAATAAATAAAGTGTTTGAAGGTTCAGAAATGGTGTAGGGTATGGAATTCCCACCACATCTGCAACATCTCCGAGTCTTCCCTCGCTCAGTATTTCTTCCATTTTTGCACACCCAATTATCGAAAGAGACCTGAGATTTGGAGCAAGAAACAACCAGGTAACGTCCTTCAAATTTTCACAATGTGATATTACAACATTCCTCAATGTGTGGAAGCCTGAAGTGTAATTAGTACTCGGAGAACCCCTGGTATGCAGTTTTTCCATTTTCATCTCCTCCATGTTTCTACAGCCATAGATATCTAACCTCTCCAGACGCTCCATGTTTTCTAAACATAAAACATTAAACACATTTGTCTCCCTGAAATCCCTCAACTCTAGTTGTTCGGTGCTGCATCGAAACAAGTGGTGGCTTAGAAAACTTTGTAGAGCAGACATGTTTTGTATCTCTGGTATCCTTAGTATATTCAGATGTTGCAGACTTTTCAATTCCTCTATAAGCCTCTCATTATCATTATCCCAATCCAGAACATTGTCTTCCTCGTGATAATCACTTATTGGCAGATCCCCCAACCTGAATATTTGCATCTTGGAAAAACTAGATATCAAATTCTGTGGGATTCTTTCGAGATGAAACATGTCACTCAAGTCCAACATTTTCAGTTTGGTTAAGAATGTCATTTCCATTGGCAACTCTCTTATACCAGTTCCAGATAGATCAAGACATTCTAGAGAAATCAATTCTGAAATTCCCTTTGGTAGTGCTTTTAAATCTCTGTTACTCGACAAATCCAAAACAGTTAGATGAGGCATAAACTGAAAGAAGCCATCGTTGATCGCCTGAAACTTATTTCGGCTGAGAAACAAAGTTTGAAGGTTAGGGCATTTAGGGGTTCCTCTCATAACTTTAATCTGATTATGCATCATCGACATTCTTTTTCACCTTCCCAGGCCTTAACATCTGGCTCCTCTAGTAATTGAGCACCTGCTTTTACAAAGAAACTCTTCTCTTTCTCTTCAAGCTCGCATGCTATCCACAAACCCATGTCTCGGATCACATCATGCATCTTCACACGTTCTTCCCCATCAAATGATTCTTCTGCTCTTTCCAATAAACATGCATAGATAAGAGAGTTGATAATGTGGTCTCCTTGCATTTGAGCTTCACTAATTCTATCAAACTCATTCAACAACCCTTCACAAAACCAATACTCGACCAATGTCTTTATGGGAATATGATAATCTTCAGGATACAGACAACAATATAGGAGGCAACATTTCATTGTGGGATCCAGATAATCGTAACTGAATTTTAAAAGCGGAAATACCTTATCTTCCATTTCGGGTAACGCCGATCGCTTCAACTTCTCAATTGCATATTTCCATTCCCCAGGCGTTCGCTTGCAAGCCATGGCACGGCCGATCGTAATCAGTGCAAGAGGCAGCCCACCACACTCTTTGGCTACTTGCTCGGCTAATTTCGGAATATCTGGATGGCTATCGAGGATTTCATCTCCAACCTTGTCTTGGAATAATTTCCAAGCGTCCTTGAATTTCAGACACTCCACTTTAATTTTATGTCGAGCTTCCATTTTGCCACAAACCCCTTTTAATCGAGTGGTGAAAATTAGTTTGGAACCATTTTCTTGGGTTGGTTTTGGAATCCCAACTTTGTTCAAATCCACCCTCTCCCATAGATCATCCAATAATACAACAAATCTCTTGTGGCGCAAGACTCCATAGATATCTTCAGCTTTTTGGTCAACACTTCTATTTTTCCAAGATTCATCCGAAAACCCAATTTTCCCACCAATCCTGTCTTGAATCTTTTCAACATTGTAATCTTTAGACACCAGCGACCAGATCACAATGTCGAAACCCTGTGGTGTGGTGCTGAACTTGTTGTTGATTTGGGTCAAGAGTGTTGTCTTTCCAACGCCTCCTGTGCCGTAGAGGCCAATGATCCCCACATCGTTGTCCATGATACAGCTCCATACCTCGTCGATGGTGGATTCAAGAGCAACTGTCCGATCCTCAGGTCTTACTACAACTGAAGATGCTGGCTGAGTCTCTGCTACCCTATCAAAAACTCCTTTACTCATGTGATCCCTTATGTCTTGAAGCATTTTGGCCACCTTTTTCCCAAACTTGTAGGTAGACAGGCAATTCTTGGAGAGGCAACCGCCCAGACACAAGTTATTTATTTGTTGAGGGCCATCTGCAATCAGATTTTCCGCCTCTGGTAGCATAGTTGCCGCCTGTGAAAGCCATAGATCAACTTCATGGAGTCGCTTCAGTAGCCGTTGTTCTTCCAGATCAACCTTCCATTGCACGTCATCCCTTCGAACCTTCAGTTCATCAAGAGCAGCAGATAAGGTAGGAAGATTTTCTTTAAGCTTGCACACGTAATTAGCCTGTCCGACAGTGGAATCCCAGCCTCGGATGAGGATATTCTCGAAACTAAATTGTATGGAGAAGCAATTTCCCATGACTCTGGTAA